AGCCTCAGAGAACAGTATTCAACCTACCTATGCTTTAGGATAGCCCCGCTATATCACAGGTTCCTGGCACTTTGAAAATTTGGTAATTACAGTGAAAGAGTTTATTTTAAATATAAATAATTGAACAGATTGCTGAAAACCAGCTGAGAAAGTTTACCCTTGGAAGCTTTCCTTTCTCTTTAAAACTAGCTGTCATTATTCTTGATCTAGTTAAGGATTCTCTTCCTCTCCTATATTAAGATTAAGGGATGGGCTAATTTATATCATTTATCTCTGGAAATCTAGTACTTGTTTGCCTCTCAATAGCTTTGGGTTGAATTCAATGCTAATGATAGTAAAATGCTCATAGTACTAGTCTACATAAGTATTTCCAATCTGAAATCTCTCCAGAAGAAGGAATGTCAGCTGTATCAAAACATTTGGTTGTGAGATGGGGATAGATAATTATTAGAGAACACCACATTAATTTTCACTTGTGATCTAGAATTTGAAGTATTACCTCTAGAGAGAAAAGTTTGGCGCAGTTACATCCTGTGCCAGTCTCAGTCCCTGGTTGGGTGATTTCATAGCATGTGCCATGCATAACAGACATTTATCACATCATAACTTCACTAGCTAATTTGCGAAAAGTGTCAATCTTTGCTGAAGATCAGTCCCAGGAATGGACTTGTATGGTGTGGCATGGCTGGAATAGATTGTGTTGGCGGAGCAGTACAGGGGAAGTTTACACAGGGTATAACTGCCCTGTACCTGCTTTCAGACAGTGTTTAGTACTTTACTTTCAAGAGCACTGAATTCCATTCTGCTCAACTGTAGCTCATCACAAAATGCACCACTTATTTGATATCCATATCTTTCTTTGTCACAAAGAAAATGAAATTATGATTTGATATTGAGAAATATTTTTCCGCTCTACTCTGTGCTGGTTCGGCCTCAACTGGAGTACTGTGTCCAGTTCTGGGCACCACATTTCAAGAAAGATGTGGAGAAATTGGAGAGGGTCCAGAGAAGAGCAACAAGAATGATTAAAGGTCTTGAGAACATGACCTATGAAGGAAGGTATGTCCACACTGCAATCAGAGGTATGACTGGAGCTCAGGCGGGCGTACATGTTCTATCTTTAATCGAGCTAGTTTGTCTATTGATAGAAGTAAGGATGTGGCAGCATGGGCTGTACAAACCCACCCAGAACCCTGGATATATACTCCACATTGCTAGCCTGCACCAGTGCCCATGCCCCAGCTGGGTAACTTTGTTATCTGACCCAAACGGGAGCAAAAGTTTCCACAATGTCAGGGTATTTCCATACACCTGTGATGGGACAGATAGGCCCCACACTGGCAATGAAAGGGTTAATGAGAACCTATGGACCGAGTTGTCCCCACTCCACTACACCAACAGCAAATGTCAGGCATGGAGAGAGGAGCTAAAGGAAACTTAGCTAAACTCAGGGCTGCCCAGGAAGAAGAGCAGAACTCCACTTCTCCAGAGAGAAGCCTGGTTGCAGATCAGAATCTGAGCCGGCTTGCTGGCCTGACAAGCTCCTGTTAGAAGGGACAACCTGTTAGAAGGGACAACCAGCTCCTGGGAGATCAGCAGAAGCAAGAACTGTTTGCAGACAAGCCTTGAATAGAAAGGCTGGGTCCCACATAAATTTTTCATTGGACAACTCTGTTTTGAGTTGTGTTTTTTGTTGTTGTTTTGTTGTTCCTGATTCCTTTGGAAGGGGTAGGACTCAAGTGAGCCGTGGCAAGCAAAAGCTACTTTGTACCTCGTAGACATAGCAACATATCGTCAGAGACCTGTAGCTAGATGAATCTTACCCTGAAGGGCCACAAGGGGGCACTACAGAGGCAGTGCATGCAGAACAAACTTGGGGGAGAATGCAGGCACAGATCTAGCACCGGAGGAAGGGAAGCGGTCAGGACATTTTTTTAAAAAATCAACACTCTCGGAAGAGACTCCCCAGCAGTATGCACGTGGAGCAACTACTGAAATCAACGGTGGAGCAGAACACCCAGCAACACCAGCAGCAACAGTGACTCTTACAGCAACTGGCCACTCAGGTCATTGGGTGGAGCATGGGGCTGCTGCTCTATCTGGGCATTTACCTTGTTGCCATCCATCCCTCTCTGCTGGAGAAGCTAGACCATCAGCAACTGATCTGAAACTTAGCTGCTCAGCAGCAACAGCAACAAAGGCTGGTTCAACAGGGTGTGACCTCACTGCAGCCTCTCACAATGGTCAGGCTTCCGCCATGGGTCTGGTGGACACGGACCTGGCCTTGGCCCTGGTACCAGTCAATTCATGAAGATGGGGCCTGAAGATGATCCAGTGACTTTTCTTGAAAATTTTCAATGGGTGGCAATGGCATCACGGTGGCCGCCGGAGCACTGAGCACTCTTACCAGTAACCTACTTGACCAGGGCAGAACTACAGGCTGCCTATTGTGGGCTAGACCCAGTGACAGCATGAGATTATGCCTCCGATAGCAAGGTTTAAGTCTGTGGCAAGGTGGCCATATTAAACTCATTGGATATCTCTGGGGGCCTGATCCTGCATGATGGCACAGAAACTACAGTGTTGGTGGTGCAGGGTGGATGTGGGAGCTTGCGGGGCAGGGGACCGATAACAAGGTCCTGAGGGGCGGGCGGAGAGCACACTCCCGCAGAACCTGCTCAGGGAAAAACTGAGAGGCGGGTGATAAGGCTGCCTGCACCTCCTGGAGTACACGCTGGGAAGTATGAGGGGTGGAGAGCCCCTTGCGCTGGCCAAGCGCCAGGGGATCCACCCAATCCCCCCGGTCATAGTCTAGAAGGTCTCCAATTCTGGTGATTCCTGCCCGGACCAACCTCTGGGACTCTGCCACCTGCAAACCAAGTTGGGGATTGTGTAGCAGGGCCTCTGTGAGGAGATCTGCCGGTGGCTGCCACAGACCTGGTCACCGAAACCAGCTTTCAGGTCTGGAGGAGATCCTGGTAGAAGTCTTGTGGAAGACCCATCGGAGATAAAAGAGCTACCCATCATATTGGAGCCCTCAGATGTGGTGAAGGAAGGTGTGCACCAACGTGCTCCATGCTGAACTACCTGCACCATAAAGGAGTCTCTGCAGGGCCTGGAGGCAGAGGAGATGGACCTGACTGCAAAGGCAGAACGGGCTCTGTCCTTCCTTCTCCATATGAAGACTCAACCCACCACCAGGGATACAGAGCAGTCCTGGCCAAAAAATCTCTGGAGCTAACCTCTGGAGCCAGGCCAGGATATCCCAGGCTGGGCTCAGGACGTTGAGCTGGTGCCAGAGCCTGGAGAGTACCGGCTGATTGAGCACCAGTGCCCTCCCCCACAGGGAAAGGCACTGGAGCAGTCCTGTCCACCTCCTCAGCCACTCAGCCACTCTGTCCTTCAAATCTTGCTAGTTCTCCAGCAGAGAGGGATGGATGGCAACAAGGTAAATGCCCAGATAGAGCAGCAGCCCCATGCTCCACCCAATGACCTGAAGCACGGGTGGGAGGAAACTTGCTACCATCCGTCCCCGACCACCAGGCCAGAGCTCTTGACCCAGTTGACTGCAGTGGAGGAGGCCAACCTACGATAGGTCACCCAGGTCCTGGACTACGAGAAGTATGTCATCAGCATACGCTGACAGGACCACTCGCAACTCTGGCTCACGGAGCACCCACCCTGTTAACCTCCTACAGAAGAGACGGAGGAAGGGCTCAATGGCCAGAGTGTACAGCTGGCCTGACAGTGGACATCCTTGACACACCCTTCGCCCGAAGCTGACAGGTTCGGTCAGAGTCCAGTTGAGTCTGACCAAGCACTCCACAGAGTGCTTACAGGATCTGGAGAAAACCCACAAACTGGGGCCTGAAGCCGAATCCCCTTAGAGTCCCCTGGAGATAACCATGTTCCTCCCTGTCAACCGCCTTCTCCTGGTTAAGGGACAGGAGGGCGAACGACAGACCATCCCTACACCCGCGCTCGAGGAGGTCCCGGACCAGATAAAGATTGTCGAAGATAGGATGGCCCGGTGTAGGTCTGGTCGGGATGGACCACATCCGCCAGCACGGACCCTAGCCACAGCAAGATGGCCTTCATTGTGACCTTGTAGTCCATGCTGAGGAGCGAGATGGGATGCCAATTCCGAAGGTCATGGAGGTCCCCCTTCTTTGGTAGCAAGATGAGTACAGTTTGCCTGCATAACAGGAGAGGCACCCCACTTCCTAAGGACTCAGCCCAGATGATGGCAAGGTCCGGACTGAGGACATCCCAGAACACATGGTAGAATTCCACGGTCAGCCCGTCCATACCCAGAGATTTATTAGTGGGCATCTGATGGAGGGCTTCTGAGAACTCGGTCAGAGTGAGAGGCTGCTCCAGCCAGTCCTGGTCACCTGGGCTCCATCCCAGAGCACCCTACAGGCATCAGTATGGGTTAGACCAGGGAGAAGAGTCTGGAATAGAAGGTCTTGGCCCTCACATGCATCTCCACCAGATCCGTGAAGGGGTGCCATCCTCTGCCAAAAGGCAGGTGACATGCTTCTTAGCCCCCTTCTTTTTCTCCAGGGCATAGAAGAAGTGGGAGCCGCAATCCATCTCCTAAAGGAAATGAATGTGGGATCGAACAAAGGCACCTCGAGCCCAATGGTCTTCGAGGACCCCGGGGAACCAACAGCTGAGCCAGTGCTTTGTACACTTAAACACCAATTAATTCCCCTCCCAGGGTGGACCTGACAGGGTCTAATTAGTGGATTAGAATGGGCTGGGAGAGGACTAATGAGTAAATTGGCTCATTAACGCAGGAGATAGAAAAAGGCACAGGAAGGCAGTGCAGGGGAGAGAAAGGCAGACTAGCAGAGCCAAAACCAGGAAGGATCTCTGAGTAGAGAGATCCCTTCCCTCTCCTCTCCTCAGAGAACTGAGGAGAAACTGAAACTGTAAATAATTGTGGTGCATGGATCAGTAAGGGGATAGGAAGAGCAAATGCAAATAAACTGCACTGGGGTGTTTGACAACTTAAGGTCCCTAAGCTGGGGAAGGCCTATCTGTAGCTCATGTGAACCTTCTGTTAGGTGGAGTTAGCAGCAACAAGGGCCAGGTTCAATATCTGAGGTAGAGAGCAGCTGAGAAGTGCATAGTCAGGTTCCAAGGCAGAGTCAGTACAAGGGTGAGAGTCCAAGTCACATTTTGGGGGCCAAGTCACAAGGTGAAGTCCCAATCAAGCTGAGATCGGAGCAGGGAGAAGTCATGGCAGCTACAGAGAATCCATGCTGTTCCCTGGACACTTCCTGGAATGCCCTTTAGATTTATATAGGATGGGGAGCCAATCAGGAGTCATGGGGCTGCCGTCTGTCAGACCCATGAAGGTGGGACTTCTCATGGTCTGTGTTCACAGCAGGTCATGGGCAGTGGCTGGCAGGATACTACAACCAGTTTGTACCAGGGTTTTCATCTATTGTGCCCTTTCTCAACAATCTGCTCAAGAACAGCAGCCTGAGAAAGATCCATTGGACGGAAACCTGTGAGAAGGTCTTTCAGTCACAAAAGGCTCACCTCTGTAGGGAGCCCATTTTATACAGCCTGGACTTCACCAAGAAATTCCTCCTACACACTGATGCTTCTGAAGCTGGATGGGGGCTCTCTTCTCCCAAGTGGTTGATAGTGAGGAACATCCCATTCTGAGTTGCAAATTGTTCCCAAGAGAGGCCTACTCCATTATAGAAAAAGAGGACTTAGCTGTGAAATGGGCCATGAAGGCACTCCAATATTACCTTCTTGGCAATTAATTCACCCTGGTCATGGACCATGCACCTCTATGATGATTCCATGCCATGAAGAACATCAACCCCCAACTCACGGTGATACCGCTCTCTCCAGACCTTCTCCATCTGTGTCCAGCATAGGACTGGGTTACTCACTGAAATGCAGACTTTTTCTCTCAGTAGAGGGGAGCTGCAGGGCAAAGCAGTGCCCTAAGTAAGATCCTTTTTCTGAGGCAAATAGGCCTGGCAATGAGAAGGTTAATGAAAGCCATTGGATCCACCTCACTATACTTCAGCAAATGTCGGGCATGGGGAGGGAGGACTGGAAATGTTGCTCGGAAAGCAGAGGGGAAGTTTTTTGGGCAGAGTGATGGGTTGAAAGAGGCTTGGAACTGTGAACAAAGAAAATACCTCCTGTTGTTTGATTCCTGCTGTCTTCAGAGTAACAGGACTTTGTGTATATTCTTTGTAAACTAACAAGATTGCATCAAAGAAATACTTTACTCCATATCAGTTTCTCCTAATGGAAACAACCTACAAGATCCCGAATATCCAATTAGGTCAAAAAGCAGTAACAATACTTACAGAAGGGAGGCTTTGCATGTACATTATAGATGCTGGGGCATTTTGTGGTTTTTCTGGTACAAATTTACATCCAGCTTCATACAGCTTTGTCTGTTGATCATATTTACATTCTCTTGTTGTGCAGCTGTTTCCTGTGCAGCTTTGGACTATATATTTACCAGTGACATCAGCCGAACTTCTGAAGGAAGGTTAGATAGAAAGAGGCATAGCTAACAAGCCACATATAATCAACAAATAATAATCTGTTATTTATTATTTGAATCATGGTAGGCCCAAAACCTCCAAACATGATTAGCATTAGTTAGACACCATGGACAGTGGGTGAACCACGGACTTGGGGAGGCTAGTCCCCCGGCCGCCACATCCCTTCTGCCTGGGGCCCTGCCCCTCCTGCTCACCTTCCCCACTGGAGCCCAGAGGCCTCCCCCCCCCCAATTCCCGGAGTGCCGAATGGGCAGGCAGCATGGCCCAGCCCCCATCCCCAGAGCAGCAGGCAGGCAGGCGGGCGGGCAGGCTGCTGACCGTGGCCCCCAGCGCGGTGGGCGGGCAACACGCCCCACCCCCACCGAAGCACCAGGTGTGTGGGCGGCACGAGCACTGGCTCCAGCTGCCCCGAGTCCCTGGCTGCAGGCCGGCCCCCCACTAGCCCCAGCCTGGGACAAGGGCCTTGGAGCCCTCCCAAGAGTGGGAGGTCTGGAGGCTCCCACCCAAGGTGGAGGCAGAAGCAGCCCCTGCTGGTGTCACAGGTTCCCCACCCAGGGCAGGTGGAGGGACGCAGGCTCCCCACAGCTGCCCGCGCAATTCTCCTCAACCCAGCTCCGGTCAGGGTGCGGGGCTTCAGAGCCACAGCTTGGCCATTATAAGAGCCGGGTGGGCAACTGTGGGCAGGTGGAGGGTCCCTGGTTCCTCTTAGCTGCCTGCGCGGCTCTTATCATGGCCAGGCTGCAACTCTGAGGGCCCCTCCCCCGGCTGGAGCCGGGTCGGGGAGAGCTGTGCGGGAAGCTGTAGGGAGCTGGCGCGGAGTCACAGACCCTCCTCCTGCCCCGGGCAGCGGAGACATGGTTCGGGGGCTGCTCTCAGCGTCCCCACCCCTCACCCGCACCCCGGGCAGGTGGAGGTTCTGCCACGGCTTCCCACAGCTGCCCGGGCTCCCCAGCTGGACTCAATGCTGGCCTGGCCAGGGGGTGGGGTTTGAGGGGGGAAGAGGAGGGGAAGGTGTGGGGTCCAGCCAGGCCCATCCCCTTCAAAAAGTGGGAGGGCTATGGCCCCCGGGGCCCTCCTGGTTCCGGCGCCACTGGCCCAAAGCCCTGGCCACATGAGAAGGAAGAGCCACAGCAGAGCGCAGCCAGAAGCAGGAGGGGGTCTAGGGGAGAAGTGTGGGTGGGGCCACGCAGGCAGTTTGGGTAAGCTTAGCTTCCCCTGCCTTTGATACCCACTGCCCATGTTAGACACCATCTCTGCTCCAAAGACTGTACAATCTAATTTACACCATCTATGAGAAGAATAACAGTGCAAGTGCCTCCACTAGTCCATCAATATGCCTCAATCCAGACATGAAGGACCCTCTCCTGAGGTGAACGGGTACTACATTCTCCATGCCCATTCAATCACTGTCTCTGGGACAGAGTTCTAGGGCTAGAGCTGACCCAACACTCTGATCACCAAGGTACTAGCTATTCCCCCTGGAGTGAACTTAACTGGGAGATGGGTGCTCAATGGCTTAATTAGACACAGGGCTGATGTGCTAATGAGAACAATCAACCCATCAGCTGGGAGCAGTTAAGAGGCAGGAAGGAAGTGCAAGAGGGAGGCTGCCAGGAGATACAGGGGCACATGAGGAGGAGATATTTCCCTCTGCCACCCCAGAGAGTGGGCTATGGGGAAGTTTATGTACACTCGTATGTTGCTGCCCAAGGCTGTACTGATGAACTGGTGGAAGGGACCTAATAAATAACACACTCATGCTTATAAACCTGGAAAGTGTCCAGCCGGTTTGCGGTGTTTGAAAGGGCGGAGCAGGGAGCCCTGTCACAGTCTCTTTCAGTGGTGACTGCCAATTAGAGTGCCAACTGCAGTACAGAAGTTTGGTGATGTTGATACTTGTCCATTAGGAATTGGACTGAAAACACCAATTCATTTCACAGTGGTCAACAAGTGACTGGCAGATGGTAATGAGTTTTAGGCACTACCAAACTGGTTTCAGTTCAGATCAGTGCCTGAGAGGTGAAAAGTTCTGTATTTCAAACCCACTGAGATATCCAGTCTCACTCTGTTTTTTGTTTCTCATTAACAGAGTTGAACATTAAAAAAAAACCACACTTAAATATGCAGAATCTAGAGAATATTATCATAAGATAGTAATAGCGCTAAAACAGGGCAATAATGGGGTGTGTACTTTGACCATGTCCCTTTTTAATATTTAAATAACACTAAACATGAACTAGTAAGAATGTTTTGGAACTTCCAGGATCTCCCCTCTACCCCCGAGGAACTTGAGAAAACATTCTTATTTACTACATGCTAACTGCTATTTGATAAAGCCAGGGTAAATCAGAATGTAGAGAACGGGAACTCAAATATGTAATTCGATCTAAATTAAAAGCTCATTTAGTGGTAAAATGTGATGCATTACAAAATGATAGTGATAATTAAATTAGACTGGTCTGTAGACCGCAATATTGTTAGTTAAACATTATTGTGTAAGCTTCTTTTTTAATCCTATGAACAACAACTTGCCAAGACTCTTCGCACAGGGCTCAAAGTACAAACTGAACACAGATAACCAGTATGTGACAAGTATCATTGAGATATTTAACATTTCATCAGCTGAAGATAAAATATAAAACATTGGTACCTAGTTGCTTCAACAGTTTCTTTTCCAGAGTTTACAGACAAATAGAAAGGTGCATAGTTATTAAATTCATCAAATACTCCCCAACGAAGATGGGCCCATTCATGGACAAAAACTTTAGCTGTGGAAGAGCAGGAGCATATGTGAATTCTAAATACAACACTTTACAGTTTACTTTATATTTCCATAGATCATTTAAACAAATTTAGGCCCAATCCTACAATCGTCTCTGCTTGGACATACCCCTGTGCCCACACAGGACTCACTGTGGGATCCAGCTTGAAACCCAAATAGATCACTGTGTTCAGTTTAACCCTCCCAGAATATTAACAGACCTAAAGTAAAGATCTGTTTCCATACAGTAGCTTCTGACTATTCCAGGTATCAGCAAGGTTTCTCGGGTTACACATGTCTTTTAAAATCATAATTCTTGGCTCTTATATAACACAAAGGAAAAGGTGTATATTAGAAAACCACAGCGAATTTAGTTTAACTTCAGTTCAGGGTAAAACTAAGGATTACGTAGATAGTTGAAGGCAGATAAAGTGTAAAATGTTAGACAACCAGAATACTTTTGCAGAAAACCAAACTATCTCACCAAGACAATCTAATCCCTTTCTTGCAGGTGTTGGTAAAGCCATTGACATGGAGAATGTATATCATGTTGTCTAACTAAAGTTTTCAACTAAAGATGGGCCAAGGAAGCAGAGCTCAGATCAGATTAAGTTTAAATCATAATTCAAGGTTTGAGTTCAATGCTTCCCCCGGCTAGAATTTGGGTTTGTATTTGACTTAACTAGAATCCAATTAATTATTCTAAGGAGATTTTTGTCCCAAACTGTCAGAAATCTGATGAGAAAGACAGTTCTTGTGAGATTTCCAACATTTTAGGCCAACAAACCTCTAAATTTTTGATCCAAGCTAATGCAGGTTTGTCTTGGATTTGAATCCAAATAAACTTGCACATTTACCAGGGTTCAGATTTGAGGGACTGGATTTTACCTAGCTCTATTTTAAAAGAAACACATAAATGATTGATTCTAACTTGTGTATGGAACAGAGATAAATAAATTGGACAGTATATAGGTTAAATGGGCATAGGAGAAAGTCATTGTTAATGACAGCAGGTTACGCTGCACAAAACTGAAAGGTCTCTATTGGGGCTTTTTTATTTGCTTATTAATGGCCTCGCATAGGCAATGCCCATGCAGTCAAAAAACGTGCTGTTGAAATCAAAATGGGAAAATTGTTAATTCCTTGTGAATGTACACTTACAAGAAGGGTAGTTGGGCAAATGTGACTTTCAGAAGTTCCAATAAAAACCTTCACATCCTCAGAGCAGGATCCGCTCATGAGAGTTTGGTCTATTCTAGAATCCTCTGGTACTGGTTTTACCTGCATGTTCACCAGGATACACCCACTGCAACTCTCAGATTAGTTTACTACACTGTAACGTTAGGATATAGATTATTTCCAAGTCAAAGCAATGATTTACGAGGAAAAACAACCTTCATTTACTGTAAAATTATTAGCCAGAATTTTCAAGAAACTGGTAATTTTAGGTGCCCCCATTTCTGAGTGTTCAACTTAAGACTCATCCAGGGAGCCTGATGTTCAACAGTTTGTGAAAAAACAGGCTCTTTTAAAGTTTCGCAGGTTGGGCAACCAAACCTGAGGCATCCCAAATCACTAGTCACTTTGGAAAATCTTGGCCATTGGTTAAATGGGCATAGGAGAAAGTCATTGTTAATGACAGCAGGTTACGCTGCACAAGAAAGCAGAAAATTAAGGTCCAATAGATGGTGCTACCTCGTGATCCATAGATGTTATGCAAAGCGTCATTTAACAGGAAGTTGGGAGTGAAATGAATGTATCGTCCCTTTTCCCCACATCCTCCATATTGCAGCGTGTAGGGATCGTCTCCGTACTTCAAGAAAGGATTAGCCACGATAACATCTGCCTGAAAATAAAATAGCCCTTGTTTAAAAAGCAGCAGGAAATGAGGGTGTCAGATGATTCTGTTGAATGGGATCATCCTGCAGCTTTTACTCACGGAACACTCCCATCGATTGTTTCCCTGGGTAAGGATTGCAGGACTGGGCACTAGAGGGCAATACAAATTCTAAAAATAGCAATTTATATTCCCTCGTTATTGGAAAAACTTAGGGCTTGTCTACACAATGGGGTAACATGTACTACTGGGGAGGGGGGATTTTTAAAGTGCAGCACTTTGTTAAAGTGGATCAGGGAACATTTAGTGCACACCAGCAGGGTCTACAACGATCAATTAATGAGCAACACGCTAATGTATTTTAGAAATCATACCTCCATAGTGTGCATTACTCCACCTTGTAGACAAGACCCTATGTCTTAAGCGTATGAACACAACAAATACTTTTGATTTGTAAGGGTGCTCTAAATCTTACCTTATCATATGACTCTGTTTTTACACTTAAATACTCAGGTTTTGGCAGCCAATGCAGAGGAATTATAATTTTTACGGCCTTGAAAAAAAATCTCTGTTTTGTAGCATTGAACAAGTAAGTAGAAGCCTCTTTGACCATGGCCTAGTAGGGAAAGAAAAGAAAAGTTTTATGAATAAAAAATTGAACGGTAGAGGCAATGAGTAGTTGAGCCTTGCCAGGAAACAAGGGTACATAAAGTAACACTAAGTATGTGAAGGCATAGAAAGAAACCAACCTTGACCAAGGGAAGGGCTGAGACAGATTATTTCTCTCATGGAGCAAGGAGAGACCAAATTGTAACTCTGAAAGACTCTGGAATGCTCCTAGGACAGTGTAATTATACACCGTCCCTTTCTCAGGGCTTATGATAAAAATCACAATCTATCCCTTAAAATAAAACCTGAAAGAGATCCTTCCAAAAAGGGTCAGCTCCAGGCACCAGCGAACAAAGCAGGTGCTTGGGGCGGCCAATGGGAAGGGGCGACACATCCACGTCTTTGGCGGCAATTCGGCGGCGGGTCCCTCAGTCCCTTTCGGAGTGAAGGACCCGCCGTTGAATTTTGCCGAGGAATGAAGCGGCGTGGTTGAGGTGCCGCCAAAGTCCCTCCGATCATGGCTTTTATTTATTTATTTAGTTTCCCTTTGCCGCTTGTGGCAGCAAAAAAGCCTGAGCCGGCCCTGCTTCAAAACATGAAATTTCCTCAAAAAAGTTACATGGGCTTGAGGTGAAGGATGGTTCAGTCCTGGACCAGTCCTTTTCATTAATCTGTAAAGTGTACTGTGGTCAGGGCTGGCTCCAGGCACCAGCGCTGCAAGCAGGTGCTCGGGGCGGCCAATGGAAAGGGGCGGCACGTCCGGCTCTTTGGCGGCAATTCGGCGGCGGGTCCCTCAGTCCCTCTCGGAGGGAAGGACCGGTGGCGGAATTGCCGCCGAAGAATGAAGATACCGGCTTTTTTTTTTTTCCCCGCCCCTTGGAGCCGGCCCTGGAGTGTGGCAAGACGAACCCAAATTCCCATGGCAAAGCACCCTGTTCTTATAGTCCTTTTTCTCTGTTGAAGTCTATGGATTTTGCTGTGTCAGTTTATGACCTGTTACTCCTTAATCGGTAGTATCTTTTGATGTAAACATTCCAATACACCTCTGAGAGGGTCATTCTGTCCTGGTTTCGATTTAATCAATTGTCCTGTCCTTAGGGGTGCCAACCTCCACCTCAGGGTCATCAATCTGCCCTTCCTTAATTATGGATGCGCATTGATGGTTCTCTGGTGTCCTGAAGTCTCTTCACTCCTTCTTTGATCATCTGGCTATAACAGTGGCCTTCATATCTTATCTTTTCCTGATGCATACATTCCTCATTCACATAAACAATCTTTTACAGAGACCTTCAAAGGTATACAGCGTTTTTATGTTGAGCAAGAAAAGGCAGTCTGTCAGATGCATTTCTACCAATGTCCCAGAGAGTCATTCCTTTCTGCTATTCAAAAAGGGTGGCTGGCAGGATGAAATCAAATCATACATTAATTCTCATAGTAAAATTATAAAATCCTGCTCCTACATAAGAACACAGTGAATAACTGCAAGGACGGGGACAAGGAGGGATAAAAGCAAATGGCAAACATTGTAATGGAGGTGCAGTATTTGGCAATTAAATATCCATGTTCTGGAGATTCTCTAGTCTAAGGTGCTCATGTTTTGGAAAGAAGTAATTAAGAAGGAGGTGATACATAGAATCAGCCTGACCCTGAGCCATAATATTCCTGTTAAACTTCAAGAGATGAGTATACTCATTTCATTAACAGCAGCACTTGAATAAAAATTCAGGCTTAGAACAAATTTAGTAACCATAGATTGATCTAGTTTCCATGAAATAAAAAAAAAAATCACAACACTTGACATTAATGGGGGCTGGAACTGGTCTTTTAAGATTACTGCTAATCTAGAGGTAGAAATAACCTGGAAGTCTGAATATCACTGAATGACAAATATACAAATGTTCTTACCCGTATGTTTCTAATGATATTGTGATCTTCTGGTAACTCAGGGTTAATTGCAATAACAATATCCTCATAGCCACCATTTTTCAGCTGTACCATAGAAACTCTCACGACAGGTACTAGAAATAAAAGAACCAAGCTCTTAAACACCCTCATTGTCCCGTTCCCCACAATTTTCTGTTATAAAAATGATGGCACAGCAGCGCTATTTATACAATTGCTTATTTACACAGAAGCAGGGCCGTCCTTAGCCATAGGGAGCACCCCTCTCTCCACCCTCCCCTCCAGCAGGGCTTGGTTGGGTAAAGCTGCTCCGGGTGGGGCTGGCTGGCTGCATGCTGAGGAAGTGGAACTGAAAGTGACTCACTTCCTCGGCAGCCAGCCTAAGCAACAGGGGCTGGATTGGAATGCTCACACACTGCTGGCTGGGCTGGGGATAGGGTGATCAGATAGCATGTGTGAAAAATCAGGACAGGGGTTGGCTCCTATTACCCCCCACCCCCTGTCCTGATTTTTCACACTTGCTGTCTGGTCACCTTAGGTGGTGGTAATTGGTGCCTATATTAGACAAAGCCCCAAATATTGGGACTGGCCCTATAAAACCAGGACATCTGGTTACCCTAGCTGGGGAGGGCGTCTTTCCCCCTGGCTGGCAGCGATCCATCTCATCCGGGGGGGAGCTGCGCAAGGCAGGATGAGCTGCTGTGGCTCCGTGGGTGCCCTGTCCCTGAGATCAGATGCTGTGTTAACTTCACCATGGTCCGTGGTACTGGCGGTGGTGCCCAGTGGCGTGTGATCGGACCTGAAGGTTTGCTGCTGCTGTTGCCACTCTGCACCCCAAGAACTGGATATTGGGGTCCTGCAGCTTTCCACCTATCTCCTCCTCTACTGCAGTTGTTGGACCAGCAGGCTGGGGGTGAGCCAAGCATGAAAGCAGTACTGTGTTGTCATTTAACAACTTTGTTTGCCAAAAATGCTTGCTAACAATCCTGAATCCAATTTCAATATTTAAAAAAAAAAATCAATATCTTTGCCAAAAACAGAAAATTAAGTTGTTGACAATTATTTGTGACAAGTTTGGTTTGGGGCAGGGAGTGGGCCAGTTTTCATTAGAGAAACAAAAAATGTTGACTTGAACTGTACGAAGAATTGAGTATATTTTCATCAGTATTGCCACATGCAAATTCGGTGATGGACATTGTCAAGGCTGCTTCCCCACTCTGAACTTTAGGGTACAAATGTGGGGGCCTGCATGAAAACTTCTAAGCTTAACTACCAGCTTAGATCTGGTCCGCTGCCACCACTCCCAAAGCTAATTCCCTTCCCTGGGTAGCCTTAAGAGACTCTTCACCAATTCCCTGGTGAATACAGATCCAAACCCCTTGGATCTTAAAACAAGGAGAAATTAACCATCCCCCCTCCTTCCTCCCACCAACTCCTGGTGGATCAAGATCCAACCCCCTTGGATCTAAAAACAAGGAAAAATCAATCAGGTTCTTAAAAAGAAGGCTTTTAATTAAAGAAAAAGGTAAAAATCATCTCTGTAAAATCAGGATGGAAAATAACTTTACAGGGTAATCAAACTTACAAATTTGAAATATGAGAGACTTGTTCAGAAAGATGTGGAGAGCCTGGATTGATGTCTGGTCCCTCTTAGTCCCAAGAGCGAACAACCCCCAAAACAAAGAGCACAAACAAAAGCCTTCCCCCCCCCCAAGATTTGAAAGTATCTTGTCCCCTTATTGGTCCTTTGGGTCAGGTGTCAGCCAGGTTACCTGAGCTTCTTAACCCTTTACAGGTAAAAGGATTTTGGAGTCTCTGGCCAGGAGGGATTTTATAGTACTGTACACAGGAGAGCTGTTACCCTTCCCTTTATGGTTATGACAGACATTGTACAGTTTATTCATACCAGCAAACTTGTTGACATATACCCTAATGTGTACATTGCCACTTGTATTCTACTGACAATTCCTGTAACAGTAGCATCAGGAGAATGGAGTTTCTCAAAACTAAAGCTCATTAAAAACTATCTCCGTTCCACAATGAATCAGGATCGCTTGACTGGTCTTGCTATTCTTGCAATCGAACAAGACATCACTTTGTCTTTGTCATATGATGACATTATTACTGATTTTGCAGCCAAAAAAGCCAGAATGATTGCTTTTAATTAAAAACAAGTCCTTGTTTCAATACCTCTTCATAGAAATTTCCAATAAAATGTTGACAAATTAAAAAAATGATATGATTTGCCTCATTCTGTCAATAAAACAGAATTTTTTCTATAGTGCTACTTCTTTAGTGCAAGTGTAGTCCATCAGCATTATAGTGTGCTTAATTAAGTTAAACTGTTTTTAATAAAGTGCATGTGGCAAGTTTTCCAACACTGTAGGCTTACGTTTATGTTGCTAAGAGCAAGTCGGGCATAGGGGCACCAGTTTAATAATCCCACCTAGGGCACCATAAATCCTAAGGACGGCCCTGCTGTCAGAGGGTGCCTCAGGAATGCGCGCCTCAGAGAGCGTATAAGGGACTGTTAGTGGTGATGCAGGTGCTGTCCACCATCGAGGCAGCCATGTCCAGGTTCTTTGTGTGGCATTAGATCAAGACTTCGCTTACTAACATCTGTCAAGGACTCTGATACTTACCTGACTCCTGTAATCCACCAAAGGATCCAGTGAAGGCTGTGCTATCCGCTCAGATCTGTTGATCTCCTGCTTGGGCAGTAGAGAGCCAGATCCTCCGATGTTCCAGAGATCCTGAGACGGACCATCCGTTGCCAGTGTCCTCCACCTGCAGCTAGAAGAGAGACAGTAATTATTTTTTGGACATTTATTAGTTTAGCCAAGGGACAGTTTAAGGGCCTAGGCTTTATGCCCCCTTGCTGGAATCTATTCATGGGTATTTGTAGTGTTCCCCATAGTGAATCTTCCCCCAGTTGTATCTATCCCTTAATAAATCTGCTTTCTGTTTAAGGTTATATTCTTTCTATCCTGTATTTCAATGCAACATGGGCGGGAGGCACACAGATTTCTAATTCTCCCAGCTGATAGATGCTGGTAGGAGTTGAACCTGTTGTGTATGTCACCTCCTTATTATTCCACGCAGAGATTTTGGGGTAACAATCCCTTTCCCTTTCCTAATGATTTCCCAACATTTTGTTCGCTTTTTTGACTGCCGATGCACATTGAGTGGATGTTTTCAGAGAACTATCCACAATGACTCCAAGATCTCTTTCTTAAGTTGTAAGAGCTAATTTAGACCCCATCATTTTAAATGTAGAGTTGGGATCATGTTTCTCAATGTGCACTACTTTGCATTTATCAACATTGAATTTCATCTGCCATTTTGTTGCCCCGTCACCTAGTTTGGTGAGATCCCTTTGCCACACTTTGCAGTCTCTTTTGGCATTAACTAACTTGACTTGGTTTACTTGTGGCACCTTAGAGATTAACACATTTATTTGGGCATAAGCTTTCATGGGCTGAAACCCACTTCATCGGATGTGGGTTTTAGCCCATGAAAGCTTATGCCCAAATAAATTCGTTAGTCTCTAAGGTGCCACAAGGACTCCACATTTTTTTTGCTGATACAGCTTAACACGGCTACCACTCTGTAACTTGAGTTGGTTTGTATCATCTGCAAATGTTGCCACCTCACTGTTTACCCCTTTTTCCAGATCTGGTTCTGGTGACTTATTGCTGTTTAATTTATCAATTTGTTCCAAAACCTCTCTACTGGTCCTTACTGAATACAGTCAAGTCATGATCAGTGCCCCAGAGCAACCACAAACATCCAGTCCAGTGATCAGTTCATCTTTATCCACCACAAGGAGGCCCACAATAGAGTCACCCCTAGTTGGGTACTTTGCATTAGAAAAGTATTTATAATTTTTCAAAATCTCCAAGGATGATTTACTCCTGGCTACGGGAGACCTCCCCGTCTGTCTCCCAGTAGGAAGTCCCCCGTGCTAACCTAATTTCTTCCCACAAGTCACAGACAGGTGCAAAAGGAGAAACGTTTCCTGCTCTCTGGTTTGGATTCAGTGAACTGTGCCAGCCCCCACCGGTTCACCTGCTGGGCTGTGTGAATTAGCAGATTGATCCCTATCCATTCGAGGTCCTGGGGTTCTCAATAACCAAGAACATAAAACAGGTAATGATGTGTCTAACGTGGGGATTCTCAAACTTCACTGCACTCCGACTCCCTTCTGACAACAAAAATTACTAAACGACACCAGGAAGGGAGACTGAAGCCTGAGCCCTCCCGAGCCCCACCGCTCCAGGTGTGGGGGGAAAGCCAAAGCCCGAGCCCCATCACCCTGCGTGGGGAGGCCAAAATCGAAGTCCAAGGGCTTCAGCCCCAGACGTGGGGCCTGCAACCTGAGCCTGACTGTCCAGGGCTGAAGCCCTCAAGCTTTGGATTCAACCTCAGGCAGTGGAGCTTGGGCTTCAGCTTTGGCCCCATGCCCCAGCAAATTTATGCCAGCCCTGGTGACCCCATTAAAATGGGGTTGCAACCCACTTTGGGGTCCTGACCCACAGTTTGAGAACCGCTGGTCTAATGTAAAGTGCCACCCTGCCCACCGCTTTTATCCTCTCTCCCCTACCTCAATGGGTTGTAACCAGTGACATTAACATTCTAGTCATACACATCGTCCCACCGGGTTTCCCCATTTCCCCACCCCAGGGAGAATTTCCAGCTCCTCTTCCTTATTGCCCAGGTTGCAGTGCCAAGAGCAGTGTTGCTTCCCTTCACGAGAGATGTCTTGCAGGGCACATACACTGCACCACAGCATTCCTCTGAGTCCACACTTGGGTTACTGCAGGTTGGGTTATCTATAAGCCAGGGAGAGACTCCATCTTACGTGTTCCTTTCTTCCCTCCATTGGAAGCTGCTGGGGGAGAAAGAGAACGTGTCCCTAAGGCTGAGGCAGAATGGGATTGCTGGCATTGCAGCATGGGATTGCTGGCGTTGCAGCATGACCTCCAGGAACCCTCAAGCCTTCCCTATCTGCTCTGCAGCATCAGAACAGCAGAGCCTGGATTGGAGCAAGGGAACGGCCTCTTTTCCCACAGAATCCTTCCCTCAGGCCCGGAGTATTTAGAGCAGAAATCCCTGT